GTGGCTTTTAGGTAATGTAAGTTACAAATAATATCTATAAGCTGCAAGCCCTAAGATGATGTATAAATCACTAGAAATAAGTAATCTTTTTATACAATATTATTCCATTTTCTTAAAATAAAACACAATGAAATGTGCTGGAGTTGTGTCAAAGCAAGTTAAACCAGTAAAAAGGTGCAGCTACAGTTTAGATTTAAATCTAACTTCAAGTTCCAGTCTAAGGTTGGAGAAATTTATATTTGGTTCATGTGATTAACAACGCAGGGTTTGAAGATCTGCAGCATACTTTGAAAAAATTGAGATGATGGGCCCATGTGCTTTTACTCAACAGTGGAACCYACGAAATGCAGCAGCACTCAACAATTTGATGATCTCCTCCCCTTTTTTTTTTTCTCCTTTAATCCCTCTCCATTTCAGGACATCTCTGCTGAGATACAGTTGTTCACAAAACGGTGTCCCAAGTTGCACCCTGCCCCACACCTTTTTGGATTCAAAAACCATTGCTGTAGTGTACATCATGCTACTCTGCCTGCACAGCTTTTGGCCAAGATTTAGATCATATTGTGCTGCTTTTCATCATGGACTAGGAACAGTTGAGGTCAGCGTCAGCTCAAGGATCTTTGTGCTTGATTCTTTTTTTCCTCTTAGCAAATATAACTATGCTTGCAAAATTTAGGGTCCATGTGTGTATACAAAGGGAGGGCAAATAAGAAATCCTCTCAGAAGATGAAAACTGTGGATAAAAAAGAAAAAAATGTGGGAAAAAATGCACTCTTTCTTCTCTCAGTAATAGCAAAGAAGCATGGGACAGTGAGGACTCTGAGCCAGAGATAAACAGACGGATGAAAATTCATTCTCACTGTAATCCAGATAGTACAGGTGACAGCAATGAAGACAGAGTGGCTTGGCATAAAGAAAGGTGGCTCATGGTGGGGGCACGATACATAGCTGAACCTATGCATCTTTATGGCAGTTGCCATCTGAACTAGCTACATAGCTAACACGGCTATGCCTGTACATTTACAATCTCAGCGTATATACGTATGTACAGCTATCATTTCCAATTATCCCCTGTAGCTTCCACCTTTTCCCTTTTTTTTTTTCTGCCCTGTTGCACCTTTCTTCTTGCCTCCCCAAACCTCCTGTATACAGGCTGTAATGAAGCTTCCTTGAGGTGGGGTCACCATGGAAAATGTTGCTCTGTATTGTGTCTGTGCAGCCGGATTATAATGTTTTTGTGACACAGTCCATGCAGGTACATATATGTACATATATAAAAATATATGAAAATGTCAGTTTCATAATGAGAAAAAAAAACCCTGCATACATATATATATATGTATATATATATGTACATTTATATATGTACATATATAAAAATATAAAGAATGAATAAGAAATATATAGTGTTTGTAAGCTTTGCTACTTCATAATTATCTCTATAAATGCCGGCAGAGTTTGCTGCAGTCTAAGTAAGAAAGTGAAAAGAGGCTTCCTAGGCATAAGTACATCATATTACTTAGATGTCATGCTGCACTACTGGGTGACAAAAACAAACTTCAGATCTTTCAGGGGGCCCATGGTGATTAAACAGCTGTGCCACCCTGGATATTTGCAGAATTCTGTTGCAGCTCTTGGATCAGTAACAGTGAGGCAGTGTGCTTGTGTAACCATCATATTCCTAACTTATATAAGTAATTATAACTTCTATTTTATAGCAAAACTTAGGTATTTTGTGCATGTGGTTTGCTGAAAGATAAAACTTGTTTGAAAAGGGTTACCCCACAATGGAAATTCTAATCAGCCATGCCATGATGTTGCMTATATGTTTTATTTATAATAATCATTTAAATAATGTAATGCAGCTCTGAATATATATTAAAAACAGCTCCCTGTTACATATCTTTTCATATTAGAGTGCAGTCATATTCTTAGTTTCCTCTAACCCAAACTTCTCATGCAGTTGCACTTTAATATGAAAAGAAATGTTGTCAAGAGTAGTTATTATCACACATCAGAATATTGTATTAGCATTCACTTTTAATAGATTAAAATGAAAGATTTTGAAATCTGCCCTTAATGATACTGAAGGATTTTGGAGACACATTGAGAAAGCCTTAGATGAAATGTCATATGATATATATGCATCATATATAGATCCATAAAAGCCAGTTCAGTTAACTGCCTTCCTTCGTGTTTCATCTGTTCTGTTTGGATGAATCACCCACAGCTTGTGTGATGCTTGTGCATCTTCACAGTTTGTTTGCTTGCCGTCAAGCACAGTAATTGTCAGGGAAGTTTAGGAACTATAAGGTTCTTGCAGATCTAGGATGGTAAGTAATATGAGACAATTTTGGAGGAATAGAGTCTAACCTGGAAGACAGTTCTTATGTTTGGAAGGGTCTTGGGGTCATATCTGCTGTCTGTTGACTCATTGTCTAGCCTTGGATAAATTGCTTGGACAGGTAGCTGACTGTGTAAGTCAGCTTACTCACAAAGCTGCATTCAAGTTGGCTATTCTGGAGGAGAGCTGTTGAGAGATGTTAYACTGCAGAGCATGCATGTTACAAAGTAGCATATAAAAAGGTGAAAAGATTTGACACTAGAGASAACATTGATTTCTTGGGCTTAGGGGTTTGTTTCGCAAAAAGTTGCTACACATAGGGAAAAAGGAGGTCATAAAAGCACCTCAAATGAGGACTTTTGAGCTGGTCAAATTGTTGGCGTTTTCTCTCTGTTTATTGTGTCAGTGTGGGAATGTTRCTTTTGCTGGGACGTGGCTATAATGCTTGGTGTTAGTGGTTCTGAACTGCTTTTTTGATATTGAGGATTTATGTACTCTCTTGGGAGGGCATTTACATAGGACCTTAAAGAAATGCTTTTCTGAATGCAAATTTGGTGATTGAGACAACTTTGAGCTTGGGAGCAAGGACAGGTAACCAAACATCCAAAAGAGACAATTATCATGAAGATTATCATTAAGATTCTTTTCTCAAGCCACAGTGTAAGGGTTATAGGAAGGCAGAGATTTGAGCTATAACAATCTTTGTAATATAATATAGCAAATGTATGAATTCAATGAGGAAAATTCAGAATGGTTGGCATCTTGCTATCAGACATCTTTCCTGGGGTTAAGTATCAAGATAGTTTTAGGCCTTCTCTAGAACAAACTAAGTTGAACTCCTCTAGGCCTTATACTGGGGTGTAACACTGGGTTCCAAACATAGCGTATGAAATCTCTCTTCAGAATTTCATCTGCCCATTTAAGTAGCCTTGACTCTCTTTCTGGTTTGCAAGCAATCCTGAGAATTTTTCTCCAAACTCTACTTTGAATGGTAAAATCCAAATATTTCCATGTCAGAACATGAGAAGAGCAGTTTTAAACTGGGGACAGAAGAATCTTCATTCCTTGTTTTTGAACACTAATCCAAATAGCCCTTTTCTATCAAACTTTGGGAAAATTACACATGCTTTATCAGGTCTGTGCCTGTGGCATAATCCTATCTTTCCCATAAAAGCAGGAATTCTGACAGATAGTCTGTGACTGTCTATTAAATAACTCTGGCTATGAAAGGCAAACCATCGACTGGTGYGCCAGGAGCTGGCACGTGTTCGTTTTTACAGCTCCTGTTGCAGGCTCCTAGCCTCTGGCAGAGGGAGAGGAAGAGCAGCTGGAGGCCAAAACCTTTTCAGCTGCCTCAGCAAAAATTAGAGGAGCTGTGCGCCGAAGCCACAGTTTGACTTGGTTCACCTTGGTCTTGCTGAATACACTGCACCTTGTAGGTAGGTTCAGGAAAGCTAGGTTTAGGAAAGCTTGTCCTGGACCCGGAAACGTTTGTGGGCCTTTCACTGCCACCATCTGCAGAAACGGCGTGGGCTTCAGCAATGGGGATTTTAAAAAGCCCGCTGCATGTTCAGAAATAATGGCTCATTTCCAAAATATGTCACTTTAAGCATTCCCCGAAGGGGTCAGGTGAAAGTTATTTCAAACAGACCTCCTAGCAGCTGGAAATGGTTGGTTGATGCATAGAGGGTGGGCATTCCTGCTGCTGCTCAGGTCTATCGGAAAGGCTTGAAATGATTTTCGCTGCCTCCTGACTAGGGACCAGGACTGTATGTTCCTCTAGTGGCGCTGACATTTGAGTGATCATGGCAAAAGTTCTGTAGTCAYGTTTTGCAGATTACATAAGAAAGCAGTCGTTTTGTACTTTTTTGTGTGTGTTGATACAGGATGAAACTTCAATTCTGACATTTTTTCTCTATGTAGACCTTCAATTTATAATCAACTCCCTTCTTTTGCATTTCTGTTATTTCCGATGTTTGTGAGATGAGAAAAAGAAGAGTGTAGTTTGTATACAGGAATGGTATTTATAATTTACAGAAGAGTGTTTTTGCCATTCCAGTTACAAATGTTTACTTTATACACACATCAAGCAAACTCTCCTCTTAGCCCATACGGTCAGGAGGTATATACTCTTTCATACATTCAGATGCCTGAAAGCTGCCTGGAAATGTTTTTCCTAGTTTCTGGTACAGGAGCATTTCAATAGGAGGGGGTTTAATTTGTTTTGAAGTCTCAATTGTTCTGCTCGAAAGCTAAAGTTGGAATCCATTAAGATGCATTTTAGTGCTCTTCCCATCCTCATCTCCCTTTCCTCAGTGGCTGTGCAATTCACTTAGTACTTCATTACAACCAACAGCAATATGTATACATGGTGCACAAAATGAGCCATTTTGTTTTAAAACAGATTGCAGATGAAAGGAAACCATTCATTTCTTGCTTGCTAGCTGTAATTACTAGAGCGCTAATTACTCCAAATCACTGACATCCAGGGTCAATAAGGATGACAACAGGAAYATCAAAGACAAGATGCACACGCGCAATTACAAGTCTCTAAAACCAGGCTGTAATATTATTTTATGGCAACTGTTTTTTTTTTTTCAGTCAGTGCAGAAAAATGTTCAAGTTTGCTGAATGTTTACTATTATTTTGTTTGCAGTTTGACGGTGAGAACATGTATATGAGTATGACAGAGCCGAGCCAGGACTATGTGCCAGCCAGCCAGGTGGGTTAATTAATCTTCTCTGCCTTGTTTCAAATTGTAATTAAACAAATTCAAAGAGTTGCATTGCAAATGAGTGGCACTATCAGTAACTGCTGCAATCAAGAATAATCATAATTTATAAACAAAGCATTTAAGCCTTGTTTCCAGTTAATGAGATAGAGCTGATAAAACACCAGAGTTGGCGTTTGTTGAAAGATACTACCTTGTTTCCTCTCCAGAATGCAAGCAGCTGTTTTGCCAGCATGATCGTTCTTGAACAGTTGTTTTACCTTCAGGAAATAAAGTCTTTACAGGTGCAGGTTATTTGTTTATCTGACTGCAGACAAGTTAATCATTATAAGCTACACATGTCGCAAGTAGCCTTAATTATCACTCTTAGGCCAGTGGTAGTTGAAGGGTTGCATTTTTAATGTTAGTCCTAGGCTGAGGAACCCTGCCAGTGCTACACCACTAGCAGGGTTGTGGTGTTGACTCAGGCTTTGGTAGCTTGCAACCCAAAATGCTTAATGTGGTCTCCTTTCTTTATAGGTGTTCCCCAGTCCTTCCCCTCTTGGGGAGACTTATTTATTAAATTATGACATTAGATCTTTCCAAAAAAATCTTTCCTCTTCCTACCTGATTCCTAAATTATTGTAGATTTCTCTGGCTGATAGATTTTTAAGACTTCTTGAAAAGCACGTGCATTTTAAGAAAATGTTACTGAGCCTTGTAAAGCTGTAGTTATGTTTGGGGAAAGAATTTTAATTTCTTTCACATGTTTCTGTCAGCTCAATTCCATGTTAGTAAGTGATGGTGGTGCAGGTCAATTAGATTATCTTGTGTCATAGAAATTGCCATAAATGATCAGATTTGTGGTGTGGGTAGTGCAGTTTCTCAGTCCCAGCAGCGGCCAGTCTGACATTCCTCTTTCTGACAGGACCAATGGGATTATGTGAAGATCTCTCATTAGGTGGGAAATGAGTTTGCATGCATGCATGGTAATTGTATGCAGATGAGGTGGATGTAATTTAGGAATCAACAGCTTTGGAAACCGATAATTCATTCAAAGCTAAATGTCTTCATAAAGTCAGATTTTTATATAGTCATGATTATCTAATTAATTATAATATATATTGTATAACACAGGTTCATTTGGGGGCGGGGAAGAAAGAATTTATTCTTTAAGGACTGTTCATGCAAGATRATGGATATTGTTCAATCAGGAAGGCCATCTTTAAATAATGTTCCACTATGTTTCGTCCTGGTCTTCCGATTAAGTTATTCTGAAATACCTTTAGAGACCAACTGTACTTTGCATTTAGGATTTGTGTGTGATTTAACTTATTCAGCTAAGAATCCTCCAGTTCCAGAGGTAGTTTAGAATAGAACTGTTTGATTAAAAAATGAAAAATTATATTATTAATTTCTCTCTAACCATTAATCCAAAAACTGTACTGACAAGTTTTAGTATTACTATTAGATTAAAGCAGCCTAGTATCATCTCATTTATGCCTTAAGGGTTTTGAAGAGCAAGGGCTAATTGAATTTGTTTGAAACAGTAGAAATACAAACTCTGTGAATGATTGCTGTTATAAGGCAGCTGCTACCTTTCAGAGAATCATTATGTCTGTCTTAAATAGTTTTGAATAAAGAATTGCAAATCCACATTATACATCAGAATTATTTTTCTTCTGTTGATATTTTTGTACTGTGTGTGCATGTAGTTTAAATAATTTAAATGGCATATTGAAAAATTAAGAATATAGGTTTTAATCTTTTATGTGGTTTCTATATGTGCTAACAAGACCCAGATCCTGGGAGATATTTGCGCATCTAAGACTCACTGATTTCAATGCATGCAAGATGCTTAAAGTACCTTTAACAGATCTGGGCCTAGATATTTTAAGTGCAAATGATTTTGTCTTCAAGGAAAAAATCTATCAGATATGACATTTCTAAGTTCAAAGATGGTAGAAAACTCTGAACTGTTACTAAGAGCTGGAACCAGCAAAGAACTTCCACACTTAAAAGCTGGTTGAGGCAAAGCCTAGCTCTTCTTTCCCTGGATCCTGGGTGGAATTCAAAACCCAGCTGTGGGCGTCAAAACTGTTTCTCTAATGCTGGGGGACACTTATGGTAAAAGCTGGTTTAACAGACAGCCACAGTATTTTGGGTCATTACAAACACAGAAAAGAGCTGGTTGGAYGAAGGCAGAGAACTTTCCTCCTCTGGGTTGGTAGGAAGTGGAGCTATGTGGGTCTCGTAGCCTCAGGTGCCAGTTTGAGAGAAGCTGTACCCTCCTTGCCGTTGCTGTCACCATGTTTCTTGGTGCTGGAAAAGCCTTAAACCATTTCAGTGGTTTGTTAAGTGAATATGCATGAAAACCCATAAGTCCTTAAAAAGGAAGACCAAAAAAATATTACCCAAACCTCAAACTGCACCACTATCTTACTGTGGACCTGCCAGTCAAAGGAATAAAAGGAATACGGGAGAGAGGGTGTGCTGCAAATCTTACCTCTCCCTTGGTTAGGTAACTACCTAACCTGGTGGCTGCAGTTCCTTAAGAGGTGAGCAGCTCTCCACTGACAATGCTGATTAGTTCTTTACTGGCTGTAATGAAGCCAGAATTGCTGTCTCAGATATAAACAGTGGTCACCAAAAATAGGCAAACTGGCTACTGTTTGGACACTGCTTGTTCTGCTTCTTGGAGCTGGATCGTTCTACAAGAAGAACACAAGAGTCACCACCTTAGAGGCAGAGTRTGTAAGACTATGTGTAAGACTATGTATGTCCATACTGGGGCGGGAGAAGAAGAGAAAAGAATATTCTGGGCCCAGGGCCAGATAGTCCTCTACTTGTTCATTTTTCACTCTTACTGAGTGTAAAACAAGTAATTCTGAAGGAAAAAAAAAAAAAAAAGAGAGAGAGAGACTATGTGTAAGACTATGTATGTCCATACTGGGGCGGGAGAAGAAGAGAAAAGAATATTCTGGGCCCAGGGCCAGATAGTCCTCTACTTGTTCATTTTTCACTCTTACTGAGTGTAAAACAAGTAATTCTGAAGGAAAAAAAAAAAAAAAAAGAGAGAGAGAGAAAATGTTTTCTCCAAGGAAAAGTTAGAGAGAAGATGCTGACTTGGTCAGACATGAGCATCATTTCCAGATTTCAGAGTCTGACCCAAGTTAGCTGGGAGGCTGGTGGGTGATTGGGAGACTGGGCCATAGTAGACAACATCAGGGGTTTCCAGGAAGGGGTTTTCAGGATTATATGACTATACAGCATGATTTGGGGGGCAAATGCCTGCTGATGTGTTCCTTCCCCTGGATCTGGCCCTGAAAAGTTAGCTTTGCTTGTTTTGCCTTTTCTCTAACTTTTCCTTAGAGTCCAACATTTCAAGAAATTTAAGGGCTGTGAAATATCATGTGGTGCAGAAAAAATGAGATATCAAAAATACTTCAGTTGGTCTCAAAACTGAACTTCCCATTTCAGTTCTTTGTGTTTACAGAAAAGCGTTCATGTTCAGAAAAACATCACCTTATATTATTCTAAGGGTTTTAATCAACTTACCCCTTTAGGCTAACGCAAATAAAAGCTCAGACACTGAACATGAAAAATAGAGGTTTGTTCCTTTTTCTATATAACATCAAACATCTGCATAGCTTGGTAATCCAAGACAAGTTGCCTCACAGCATCCCTCAACAATTATCATTTCTGTTCAGTTTTCAAATCAGTACATGCTTTGGGACTTATAGACCAAGTTGCTAAGTAGCAACATATGGCTCAGTACTGTTCCTGTGATGTTGCTGCAAGCAAATAGCATAATTCTATACTTGAAATGATTTTTTGCAAAAAGCCAGTGCTGGAATTGAGCCAGAAGTGTAAGTATACACTAAAAATTAATGATATTCTTTTAGACTGTCCCAAAAGGCTGTTTGGCAATGTTGTCTCTATGTACGTTTTATATATACATGTAAGTACTGTCTTTTTGGTTAAGATATATGTAGTACAGTACTATGCASTCCAGGAGCCTCCTAAATGAGTTATGCCAGATGTATTAACAAACATGCATAGTAAAACTATGTGACATTTTCACTACTAATTGTACTTCAATCTGAAAATATTTGTCATTTTAGAATGAAACTATGCCAAGTGCTCTGCATTTCAAATTCTCACAAATATATTGTTTTCTTCTCACACCTCTAATTGAAATCTTAGAGACAAATTGTTCTTCATGCAATTCCTTCTCCTGTAATTTGTGGGCCACGTATAGCACAGTGTAAAATTATATTGTTTATTTTACATTTCTTCCTAGTCACAGTACAGAATGTAATTCAGGACTCTGTTGCACAGAGCCTTGGCACTRTTTTAGCTTTTCTGAGGCCTGGTAAATATCAAAGGTGATGAATCCAGCTCCCAGACCCTCTGGGTGCTCTGAAGGCAAGGGCTGGAGCTGGTGATTTGGAGCAGCACCTACATTGCCTCAGTAGACAGTTACTTGAGGTGGAGAGGAATACTGGTTGCACAGAGAAGATGCTTTTCTCTCTTCCGTAGGACGTTTTTCTCCTTTCCAGAGGTATGTCAGTGACAACTGTGGTATATACATATCCATTCCCCTTTAATACAGTGGTGACCATGAGTATTGAGACTGTTTGGTGCTGTTCAGCTCCAGAATAAAATGAGCTAGGGTGACGTACTCATTCAGAGAGATTTTTCACCATATCGGTCCCCTTGCCTATTGTAGCCATGTTCCCATGACTATAGATTTGTCCTTAACCTATTTCATGTTTATATTCAAATAAATGTTACATATCAGATGCCCTCTGTTGCTATGTATTGGTCATTTCTGGAGAGCAGACTAGAATTTTGGGGTTCTCTATTGCATTCACACTGCAAGATAGGACTTTTCTTGCAAATGGGCCRTATTCCACATATTCGTTACTGGACCATGGCCTTTAGTACACAAATACACAGAAGGGGGACCACTGCTCCCTACTCCATTTCTCCAAAGTAGCCTGTAGATA